ACCAAAATGGAATAAAGGGGCCGCCATTCACCCCCTCCGTGATCTACCAGCATCAGCTTTGAGAGCTACTGGTAGATCACGATCTACCTAATGGGCACCCCTGCTGTACATCAATAAATACAATAAAGATTTGTAAAGTCTCAAAGCATGTTTTTTAAATTGTATGCATTAAACCAGGGGTGCCCATTAGGTAGATCGTGATCTACCAGTAGCTCTCAAAGTTGATGCTGGTAGATCACGAAGGGTGTGAATGGCGGCCCCTTTATTCCATTTTGGTATATTTATTTAGCTGTGCACACATGATTACCTATTAGCCTGAGTCTGCTGAGCCAAGCTCCCTGACACCTTTCTGGTGGATACTGGTGGTTGAAGTGCTATGTATTACATCAAACAATATTATTTTACACAGCCTGTTGCAAAATACAGCAAGGTGAGCCAGGAGAGAGCGCGGGGAGAGACAGACAGGAGAGAGGAGAGACAGCCAGGGAAGAGAGCAAGGATAGACAGCCAGGAGAGAGAGCAAGGAGAGAAAGCCAAGAGAGAAAAGAGAGACAGCCAAGAGAGCGAGGAATTACAGCCAGGAGAGAGAGGAGAGACAGCCAGGAGAATGAACAAAGAGAGACAGCCAGGAGAGAGAAAGCGAGGGAGGGTTTTTTTTTCATTGGTAGATCTCATGTAGCTCGTCATTTGAAAAGTAGATCTTAACACCAAAATTGTGGGCACCCCTGCATTATTCCTTTCCATGTGTATCAAAAAATATTATTGAAAAGACCATACAGTACTAATGTCATATCTAATGTTTAGAAGAAGATATTCTATATATAATATTCTCTATAAGTGTGCTGATTTACCAAAATATAATGGTACCACACCACCGCACTCACTAGTACCCTAAACTATAATAGAATGTGAGCTCTTCAAGCTTCTGTATCTTTTCCTGTACCCTAATAGATTGTAAGCTCTTTCACCTTCTATATATTTTCCTATAACGTAATAGATTGTAAGTTGTTTCACCTTCTGTATCCTCACCTATACCCTAAAACATTGCAAGCTCTTCCACCTGCTGTATCCTTCCTTATACTCGAATAGATTGTAAGCTCTTCCTTCCAGTGACATACCTAGCGGGGGTGGAGGAGTCCACACCAGGTACCACTAGTTAGAGGGTGCCTGTTGCAGTTGCCACAGATATGCAGAATGGCTAGGGTGTGCTGGGTGCAGCAACCAGAACTGAACCCTGATTCTAGGTGGGCTTATTATCAAAATATTCTGTAACTATACTATATTCCTGAGACATTTATTCAATGAATGGGCAATGTATGTACAAACAACTACAGCAGATAGCCATGGATCATTAACTTCTCACAATTAATTCCTTAGCCAAGTTGGAATTTTGCATTATGGAGGTCAGCATCTTATTTACATCCTAGGTCTGTTCACATATACAAAGTCACAGCAAAAATGGATCTGAATAAAGTTCTGCCTGATATGTCACTGCTATATGAATTCTGCAAAATAAATATCAAATAACTGTATTTTATATGTGCTTTTGCATTAAACATAATTTCATAATACAAAAGTACAAAATAAAACAAGTGTACCTATTTCTTGTCTGCAGACTGCATAATCCAAACGTTTTCAAGCATGTCGAAAATTTCACCCACTCATAGTACCAATGCAGCCATCCACTGATCACCAATGCTGGGGGGTATTATTAGTATTGTTACAGCCAGCCACTAATGCATGGGGAGTGGGGTATTTTTTTCAGCCAGACAATGACCACAAATGTTGTGGTGTTACAGCTTGCCACTGGCCACCAATGATAGGGCTTATGACTACTGATATTGAAACCACTGCTTGGGATTTTGGGGCTACTATTAATGCTAAAGACACCAATGCTGGGGCTTAGTTTATTCCAACACTACAAGCCATACACCATGAAGTGACACCCACTTTTATACCTCTAGGTGTTTTTTGTTTTTTTTGTGTCGACATGAAGTGTATTCCTTTTGCACACCATGCTGGATTCAATAGTACCGTTAAATGCATGCTGCTAACTGGTTACAGCGTGATATGTTGTCAGCAGACTAATGACCTTGTTTCTTAGTGCAAATACCTTCTTTATTGCATGATGAATACCTGTGTGGTCCTGAAATATTGTTTTTTAATGTAATCATGCAACAAAGAAGAGCTTTGGACTTTCAAACAGGCTTGTCAGTGTGCTCACATGTCTCATCCATTCATTTTTGCCTTTTGTCGCCTTCAAGGCATCTCTCCTAACTATTTTCAAATATTGGTAACTATGCAAGAGATAGCATCTCTGAGCTCCTGCATGTCAGGCAGATTGATATGCCAAGTTCGTTAACCCTGCATAAAGATTCAACTGTACTTACTGCTGCTGCTATCCACCCTCAACCATTTAATTCTACTACCACCCCTGGCGTGCATGATGTTTAGTTCCCTGAATACAACAAAACTAACTTTAAAGTATATGGGGGGTGGGGGTGTAAAAAAGGTGCCCCAGGTGTCAGATATGCTAGGCACATCACTGTTTCCACATTCTGTATTCTCCCTTATATCCTGATAAATGTTAAACATTGCCTTTTGTTAAGATGTGCAGCCTATTCATTTTGAATGGACTGACATCACACCTCAACACAAAAAACTGGATATGCGCCCTTTTGTTTAACCTCAGGAAATGTGTTTTGTGGTGGGATGCAGTGTGTTGTGTGATACCCGCTACTGTGCATTGCATTGGGATGCCATTTACAATGAATGCCATCAGAACGCACTGAGTGATTTCCTCATAAAAACAAGCCAATTTCTATATTTACAAGGTTATCAGTGTAAACCTGTGACCTCCGACCTTTCTTATCTCTGGCATACAGGAGGATGGAAGTATAGCACAGCAAGTCTAGGACCTGCAACATACATTAATGAGAGCAGGACCATGCTTCCCTAGTGATCAAAACAGGAAAAGCAGCTATATATAGCGATCAGCAATTAGGAAGACTTTAGTCACAGGCGTATATTATGGACACAGTTTTCTGTAGTTGGGAAGGTACTGGTCTCCACAGCATCTCCTCCTCAGTAACTCCCTGTAAAATTTTGCTGCAATGTCAGGATACTTGCTGTGACCCTGCCCTATGTGTATGAATGTCAGTAGCTAAGCACAGAGACTTCTGGCAGCAGCTACTATTGGCAGCTATCTACAGTGAATCACTGAGGACCCAGAAAAGAGGGTGTGTGGAGATAAAAGAGTTACAGAAGCATTTAAAGCTGAAGTTTCATTGGCTTATATTTTGCCTAGGGATGCTCACATACCAGTTCAGATACCAGTGCTGATACTTGGCATTTTCACGAGAACAACCAGGGTTGCAGTTGTGACAGGGCCCTGGCGCTCCACCACTGTCCTGAAATCATTAGTCTGTATTGTTTTAGAAAAACTGTCACATGACACTATACAAAAATGTACTTGGCCTGGAAAAAATTGTATCGGTGCATCCCTAATAATATACAATTATACAATATATAAATATAAAAACAAATCAAAATCGTACATTAAAACAGGTATGCAGAAATACCAGGAGCCCCGTATGCTTAAAAATGGCAGCTGCCTCCTAACCTTTGAGTTTTTCTCTAGTCTAGTCTTGGAGCTGGAAAAGTATCTGTACTTGTACCAAGTACAGTACTTGGTATATGAACATCCCTAATTTTGCCTTTTTTTAGTTTATCCATCCCCCTTCAACAACATGCTTTTTAATTTGTTTTAATGAAACCTTTCCATTTTCATTACATACTTTATTTTAGACATGGTGATGTCATTACTGGGGATAGGGGCTATACAGAGCTTCCTGAAAACAACAGATAGTCTGAGGTGTAAAGCCCACATGTGATGATGATTAGTCTATATGAGTGAAAGAACTGAAATCCAATGAAAGAAAGGGGCAGGCCAGGGGCAGTAAGGCTGGGGTGGAAAGGGGTTAGATGATTCTGGACATCCTCCAGCCAGGAAATGAGGTGTGCTCTATCTGACTTGCTCACAGTGTGCAGTGAAATGAGACTAGGCATTTGCAGTACAGGTAAGCGGGCTGTACAACTGCAAAACACTGAAGATAGGCCTGGAGTTCAACTTTAAGCTTTTATCTCCTCGGAACAGTTTATCAAAAAGTGCCCTCTCTGTGTATGAATAGAGGGAGGAGACTGCAGATCCTGCCCTCCTCCTTCAGCTTCCTCCTCCAACAGAATCTTTCTGCCTGTGAAGGCTCCACAATAACAAGAGAGGAGGGTGCAGAGGCTATGCTCCTTCCAGCTCCTCCAACTTTGCTCATTATATTGTTGAGAGGAACTCTAATACCAGTACTTTGAAAAGCCGACTAGAAGTGGGTTCAACAATTCAGAAAATGGTAAAGCATTGAGGCCCCTGGACACCCTCCAGGTTCAAGGCACTTTCTTAGGTCATCTTGTGGGTGACCTGGCCCTGAATAACCAGTGACTCTATAAAGCTGGCCACACATTGTGTGAATTTCAGCTGATTCTTCAGGAACTAGTTGAATTTCGCACAGTGGGTGCCAGTGTCGCCACCCTTATGGCTGGCATCCCTCAATCAGCTGATTGAAGGAGTTGGTTGGTAAATCTTCAAACGAACAGAGTCTGCAGCCAATGAGCTGCTGGCTCTGTTTGGGTATTCTGACAGCAGCCGGCGGCAGCTGTCAGAATACAATGGAAACAGTGGGGATTCCTCGAACAACGCTGAACAAAAAAATAGAACAGTACATGGACAGCTTAACACAAACTACATAGACTTGCCAGCTCTCAATAGTGCTCTGTGTCTGGGAACTGCAGCTATTTTTTTCAAAATGGCAGTGGCCACAAGGATCAAACTAACCTGAACACATTACTTAGGCCCCTTTTACACGGTTCGGATCAGGAAGGGATCTGTACATGCATCCTCTCCTGACTGGAACGGATATCACAAGGGTGATGGGCGATGGAGGAAAAAATTACATTGCCGGACTCATGTTAATCTATGGGCAGCCAGATCTAAACACACTGGCATCTATTTACATCTGGTTACCCCTGCTCTGACATGTTCAGGTCCAGCGAAATGGATCTCTGATCCATTTGTTTTTCCAGACCTGGCTGGAGCTGGGGGTAACCAGGTGTAAATGGACGCCCGTCTGTTTACATATGGTTGCCCATAGACTAACATTGGGCTTCTGATCAGACTCACAGGCAGACCAGATTAAGCCTGTGTGAAAGGGTCCTTAATCTAATTAGTAAACAGATGCTGCCCACGTACTGTAGTATTAATATTGTTGTTGATGTTGTCATTGTTTTATCATTGTTTTATCATTACAGTAAGGATTGGCTTATATAAAAGGGCCATTTAATGCAATATGCAGGCTAATATGTAAAAGATTTAGAACCTGGATAAATGGGATGTGAATATTTTCCTTCACACAGCAGAATGCCTGCGTGTAATAAATAAACACCTCTGTGTTAATTATTCATCATTTTTTTAACGTGAGTTGATAAGTGGTGCACAGAGACTTCGAACTCCTCCAGACTTTAGTAAGCATGAAAGACAAACAATGACGGCATTTGCAGTGGAATGGACTTCATTGCGCATAAGCATGATATTTAATTTTATTTCAGATTTAGTAGTCTTGTTTAGTCTGTTTTAGAGGCATACATGTTTTTATTTGATTATTTCAGGTTTATTCATTTTTTGTTTAATTTAGTTTTACTTTCTTCTCTACTCCTAATACTAGCCATTCCTAGTACTCATTTGTTAACTCCAGTTTCTGTCCATTTTCCTTTTTTTCATAAGTTCTTTGTATTTCACTTAACCCATAATCTAACTGCTCTTGGTATTTTTATTTCATTAGGTACCGCACATTAAAGTATCCCCTGAGGAAATGTTAAGACTCCAGTTTCAGCGATTCACAACTCTGAACCTTCATCCCAGCAACACAGACATCAGTGCAGCTATTGCAGCTTTACTTCATTTCTTCAACAGCACCACTGCTTGTGTTATCTGTGCCAAAGCTGAGTGTAAGTAGTTGCAACGACAGCTCAGTCAATATTCTAAATGTAGATGTTTTCTCACTCTGAGATAAAGCTGAAGTTTAATCTGGTGATATTTTCCCTGCATGGTTCCTTCATCCCCACTTATCAACATGCTAAATACAACCTTTCCATTGTGATTACATACCAGGTCATTGCTGGTGGGAAGGGTCAGCAGGGTGCTGTACATAGCCCCCTGAAAACATAACAGCACCCTGCCTCAGTACTCTTCTGAAGAACCCTCAACCTTGATGCATGCAGTGAGCTGGCTCTTTGGAGGAGACATGCAAATATGAAATGTCTTGAAGGTTGGATGTCAGTTTAGAGGTGTGGTTCTTTCTATGCAGACTGCATTTGCATGCAGAGAACCCTAAGTAACATGATTAAAATATCTGAAGTTGAAAGGGGTGGGCCAGGGACAGTCGGGCTAGAGAGAAGACACTAGATGATGCTGGACATCCTCCAGCTATGAAATGATGTGGGCAATACTCCAAATGAATCTAGTAAAATAAATCAATGTGTTTAAAACACCTTCCAGAGGTGTACGTGCCCAAGATATCTGTGAATACTGGTACAAATGACAACAATGTGCAAAAGGACCAGCACTTTCTACTTTAAATGTTATGTGGGGGGCTGGGGG